AGGAGTTGTTGATGCAGCATTCGTTTCTCGGCAACAACAAGATGATGGGGAGTTCAACTCGCCTATAGAATTCTTGAACGGACGAGCCGCCAATGCACCAAGAGTGTTTTCGAATAACTTGTCATTATTCTGTTTACGGGACAGAATTATGTACAAAAAGAATTTTTCATCAACAGGTAGAAGCTATCTGCTGGTAGTTCCTGGAGCTCTCCGCAGCGAAATTTTACAAGCCTACCATGACGAAGTCACTGCGGGCCATCTCGGTTTCTCAAGAACACTGACACGCATCAAAGAAAAATATTACTGGCCAAGAATCGCAGCAGAAGTGAAACATTACGTCCGAACATGCATTGACTGTCAGCGGCGCAAGGTACCACCCGTCAAACCCGCTGGGCTATTACATCCTGTGCCCGTGCCAGAAACCCCGTTTTCTCAAATCAGAATGGATTTGCTGGGCCCATTCTTAACATCGGACAGTGGCAACAATTGGGTTATAGTGGCGACGTACTACCTCACCCGATACGTGGAGACTAAGACGATTGCGAGTGGCACAGCAGCTGAAGTGGCCCAGTTCTTCATTCGGAACAATGTCACGAGACACTGTACTCCAGCTGTCGTCATAACGGACAAAGGTACCACGTTTACAGCCGAGCTTGGGACCGAACATTGCCGTACATCACATTCGCGTATAATACGGCGCGCCAGGAAACAACAAAAATGACGCCGTTCGCACTAATTCATGGCAGAGAGGAGGAGGAGGTAAGTTTATTTACAGAAAGGCAGAGAGGTCGGCCTGAGCGATAGCTTGCTCTAGCCCTGCTACTTTACCATGGCAGAGAAGGTACTACAATGCTTGACGCCATGCTGCCTTTCGATTGCAATTATTCAGAGACAGACGCCGCAGACTTAGATGAGCGCGCCGAGGAAGCAAGGCAGCTTGCCCGCGTCAGAATAATGAACCAGCAGCAACCTGACGCCCAACGGTAAAACCTCCGCCATCGATTCGTCATTTATCAACCAGGAGATAAAGTCTGGGTTTGGTTTCCTGTACGACGACAAGGCCTCTCAGAGAAACTCCCACGCCGATACTTCGGACCCTACAAGGTTTTGCGCCGTCTTAGCGACGTGACGTACGAAGTCGAGCCCGATGCCTCCTCCTGTTCGAAACGTCGCCAGCATCTGCCTGAGACGGTGCACGTGGTCCGCATGAAACTTTACCACTCTCAGTGATGTTAACACCCGCTGGCCGCATCTATACCCGTTGAGCATCGGGACGAGGCTCACTCTGGCGGGAGGGTAATGCCGCGTGCATAGCTGCAATTAGTGGCGAGATAGCGACGACAATGAAGAACGTGGATTTGCTCGAGAGGCGCAGCGCAGGCGAGTGAAGAAGACGACAACCTTAGCGGCCTTCTCTGAGAGCGTCTCTACAAGTTTCACTGTCCGTGTTTTTAAATAAACCCCCTGTAATTTATAACCCGCGACAGTATAAAAGCAGATGCGCGTTACCGCTTGCCGGTTTATTGACGGAAGCTGTTCTGTTCGCTGTCATCAGAGTAGAGCGAGCATGGCTGTAGTGTGATTGTTGTTTCTTGGCACAAGTTCGCCAAATTAAAGATTTGTTCTCAACCTGCCGACTGCTGTCTTCGTACACGTCTCGGCCACGTGACATTATTGTTTGATATTTATATGCCAGTTTTATTTAAAAGCTGTTGCCAAGGCGCCACCTTGTAGCTACTGCAGTATTCCAACATGCAGTTACAAAATTTTTCTATGGTTTTAGTTGCGGCTGTATACAACTTTGCCTCACTTCACATAGTTTTCGTATGCTTTTATCGCCTATAAATAAACATAATCTTTCTCTGTGAATAATTGTGTCGAGTACAATGTCGAATTTTGAGGCTATTTAGCAAATGGTTATAATAACCATTCTAGTGCTGCTTCAAAAACAGTCAACTTGCCCCGCCGCGGTGGTCTAGTGGCTAAGGTACTCGGCTGCTGACCCGCAGGACGCGAGTTCGTATCCCGGCTGTGGCGGCTGCATTTCCGATGGAGGCGGAAATTTTGTAGGCACGTGTGCTCAGATTTGGGTGCACGTTTAAGAACCCCAGGTGGTCAAAATTTCCGGAGCCCTTCCACTACGGCGTCTGTCATAAACATATGGTGGTTTTGGGACATTAAAACCCACATATCTATCAAACCTCTAGATGATTAGGTGTACTGACACCATTTTAGGGTGTCCCAGTAGGGACATTTTTTTTTGTTTCCATGGTGAGCACAGTCGGCGTTCTCCACACAATGGAGCAAGACAACATGTATAACATATTTAACTCTGATTTCAAAGTTAGCATTCCTCAGAATCTACAAGCCAGCCTGATTGCAAGAGACTTTATCACGACAAGTCAACACAGATTGTGGTGCACCTCAAGGTCCACCAGCAACCAGGCTGTCATACAAGACAAAAGACAGCATGTCCGAATGAACGCTTCTTCTTTAATGGATTATCGAATGAATGAGAACATATTACTTCATGCCCTCGAGCGATCGGAGCTCGAGTAGCGCGATGATTGTGACAGACGTGTGCTAGACTCATGAAGTTCACAGGTCATTGTGTAGGCAAAATTTGTGTCTGGCGTGCAGCCGAAATTGCAGTAATCATTGTCTGAGCTCTGGACGACCAGTCACTCGGCATCGTTTACGTGAACACGTGGCATTGACAGCCGTTTCTGGTATTTGCGAGATTGAGTTTCTCGTGATGTCAGACTTGTTTTGATACATCACTGTGAAGCCAACTTCGATACAGAAAAAGCACTACAACACTCTTTTTAGGGTTCTCAGCAGTTATTTTTATTTAAAGCAAGGGTCGGCGATCTGCGGCCCACGAGGCAGTATTATGCGGCTTCAGACCCCCCCTCCCCCCACATATAGTTAGACTATGCACCTCCCAAGTAACCAATGAGCAACTATACAAATTTCGGCGTCTGCTTGGTGAGCACCTTTGGCATATATAGTTTCGGCTTGATTTCCATTCAGGTTTTGTTGATAATTATTGTTAATTCGTCTATTTCCTATTTGACTGCAAATTCAACTCCCCTCCAGTTTGCCATACAAGCCCCCGCAGTGTCTACTTCGTGCGACTTGGCCCTACACTTCAAAAGGTTACTGACCCCTGATCTGGAGCAACAATTAACCCAAAGATATTCAAAATTGGCGTCAATACTTTTTAAAGAAAAACTGACTTTGTACGAAATGTCATTTGGGACGATGGCTCAACCCCACAAGTGCGATTTTCTGGTGAACAATGTCTAGTTGAGCTAACTACAACACAAGAAGGCATTCTGGATCTGCTCCTTAAAATAGATGAGAAAAGAATGCCCAGGACCTGATCAAACTACCAACGCCTTCCTAAGTCGATATGCCGAGTGGTGTTCATTTTTTTTGGACATATTTACAAAGTCACTTCACTCCGGTGATGTTCCGACAGATTGGAGGTGTGCCAAGGTGATACCAATTCACAAACAAGGTTCGGAAAATAACGTTGCAAACTACCATGTACTTGTAAAACTGGAGCACACTTTGACTACTCACCTCATGTTGCTTATGTTCCTAGAAATTTTTCTCATTTTTTGTATTTCATGCAATTTTGGCTACGCGTGGCGGCGGCAAAAGCCCCACTGCCACTGCAGTTGTGAGCTGTTAAGAGCTTTTGCTGTAACAAAAAAGTGCACTTCCTGAACCCGCCGTGAGGTAGTACTAGCACTGCCGTTCGAGTCTGTTGCACCACTTGTGCCCGACGAACCATCTGAGCCGCCACTCACGGTGTCCCACAGGAGATCATCCTTGGTCACTTCTTAGACGACCTAATGGCAATGTTGACCTTAATCCGCTTCCATGTGTCTGAAATACATGTTCTAGCAATGTTCCGATCAATGTCGCAAACGCTGCACGGGTAATCTCCATTCTCTTGTGATCTCCATCGCCTTCGTCTGGATGGCTTTGGCAAGGACAGTGAAGTCTCGGCTTTGTTCGCTGCAAACAAACTCGCAGACTTCCTGTTCAATATCGGGGTGCCGACCCTTGCGTGCAGGAGCGTAGCCAGAAAGTTTTTTTTCGGGAGGGATTTCACCATACTTTTTGCATGTTCGTGCATCTCTTTGTATGTGTGGGCGTATATACACATGCAAAACTAAAAAAATTTTGGTTCACGGGACTACGCAAGCAGGGACTACGCCCCTGCTTGCGGCCCCGCCGCGGTGGTCTAGTGGCTAAGGTACTCGGCTGCTGACCCGCAGGTCACGGGTTCGTATCCCGGCTGCGGTGGCTGCACTTCCGATGGAGGCGGAAATTTTGTAGGCCCGTGTGCACAGACTTGGGTGCACGTTAAAGAACCCCAGGTGGTCGAAATTTCCGGAGCCCTCCACTACGGCGTCTCTCATAATCATATGGTGGTTTTGGGACGTGAACTTCTTGCAGGGGTGTAGCTGGGTGGGGGATGGGAGACATGGGCGGTTTGAACACCCCTGCAATTTTTTTAGTTTTGCATGTCTATACACACGCACACATACAAAGGCACACATTAACATGCGAAAAGTATAATTGAACCTCCCCCCCCCCCCCCCACGAAAAAAGTTTTGGCTATGCTACTGACTTCTTGCATGTTGCAGCGCCCTTTAAAATCTGCTACCGCTGCTTCCTCTATTTCATGATGCAGGCTCGGTCCATGCCGAACTCTGCTACACTACTATGGTTGAGTGCTTGGATTCGCAAGCAAACTTTCTTTTCCAATTTGGTTTAGCGGAAACACGGTGCGTACTTAATATAACGAAACTATGGTATTACTTTTTATAATTAACATTGTGCGCCAGGGTACTTCGATTGAAAAGAATACATGTAGCATGAGTTTGCATTAATTTTCTTTCATTGATGCTAATCACTACTAAAAAATCGTGAACTTATATGTATTGCAGTAAATAAATGTAGAAATCACATATCGCCACACCTTTAATACGCAAATAATTGCATTTATTGCACATTCATCAAGCTAGTGACTGTCTATACAGGACACTATCTCTGCATGCTCAGGTGTGTATGTGCAGGCCTTGTAGTTATGGCCTTGCTATCTCCGCAAGCACTCTGTTCCATTGCTATTTGTGAATTTGCCAAGCAGGTAGGTCTGAACACATTTTAGAGTGCAGTGTGGGGTAGTTGGTATTGCTTCATTAGGTTACACTGTGAAGAAAGAAGCCAAGGTATGCCGTGCTGTGTCCCATCGTTTGATTTTCTTAGCTTTTCCCTAATTCTTGGAGCGCTGTAACAATGAACATTTGAGGGCATTCACTTGAAGCTCCTGTTATCACATTTGGCAGCATGCTGCAAGCCTAGCTCATCTGAACATGATTAACCCCTCAAGCACTTATGACGACCTGTGCTCCTTGTGGCTCTTCTACAATGTTTCAAGGAGCTCACTGAAATTTTTTCCTGTATAAAACACAGACGGCAGCACCGGTTTCATGACTCCCGCTTTTATTGAGTCTGCCCACTAAATGGGGGATGCGTGCTTTGGTTTCCCGTTCATTATAAACGAGTATGGCCTGATCTGTGAGGCGATCTCACATGCGTATCTTTCTCCTTTAGATGATGAAAGGATTAGTGATGCGAATGTTGGGGACTGATTATTTTAGTCATGTTTGAATTTTATTTGAGATTACACTTCAAGTGCCTCAGGAATGAGGTATTGCATGATTGCGCAAAAAAAAAAAGAGGAATAATGCATTTCCTGATGCATAGTGTTTTTGCAAGTATTTTTCTGTTTTGAACACGTCACCGAAGCATTTCACGTACAAAAATCTTCATTCTTTAACGGTATAACTGCACTAAGCAGACAGGGACCTTGAAAAACACAGTTATACCTTTAAAGAATGAATATCAGCCAACTAGCCCAATTCGGTGCTGTCTTGCTATATAAAAACTGGCAAATTTCCAAAACTTTTTCGTGATTTATTTGGCACTTAAGTAGTTAAAGATATCACAGTTGCACTCACATACATTATCTGCGTAGAAAACAAATTATTTTGAATTGAAGATTGGCCATTTACCTGTTTTAGCACAAAGCTACCACGAAATACATACCGATTTCTCGGAAAGAAAGAAAAACGTTGTGCTTCTAGGCTTAAGCCTAGAACCAGCACCTTTCGGGGGTTGTTACTCTACAGATATAACTGGGAGGCTAACAATGTGTTGTGCACGTGCCAATAAGCCAAAAAGCCTGAGCACGTGCATTGAGTGTGGCAAGAGACCTGCGGAAACATGCTGCAGCTTTTAGCACGTGATTCTTCTTTACAAAATATTTATGAAAATCAAACTTCACAAGATTACTTGCAGCTGGTTATCAGTGTGCCATACACGTTAGTTGAATTCACCCTCGCACTGCGATTGCTGGCAGCATATTGGTTAGCTTAAACGGTACAGAGATTATCCCGAAAACGCGTTGGTCACGGTTTCAAACTGCACACCATATCAAATATGTTTAGCACCTAAAATGCTGTTCTTCATGACAAATTCATCTGGAATTAATTGCAGTTTTGTGCAACAAACAGTAGTGGATGGCCATTTTCACATACATTACCCCTCCTCCGTTCTGTAAAATTGAGCTGTTATAAACGAGTTATTCTCTTGCAGCTGACAGCACATCACAATGTTTGTAAAACTGGACAGTTTCCCAACACACCCTACCGAGAACTTTGCAGCTGCATTGTGGGGCTAAAGCATATGGGCAGTTTGTGCCATCTAATAAGCTTTTGTTATTGTTATGAGGCCCAGCAGCACATTGTGCTGGAATTGTTGACATAGTTCTTAGGAGGAGTGTGGGTTAACATAGGCACTGCTGAAGTTGAGGCATCTCCGTTATGGTGCAGACGAAAAATGGCTGCAGAGATTTTGTGTTACTGAGAGAAAGCAATAGAAGGCATGGCACCAAGACATCATACCATTTAAGAGTTTGCAAGGCATACAATCTTGGCAGGTCAACTGCACCAAGGCGGACGAACTGCAAACAAGAGAGCCACAAGGTGCTTCTAAGTGTCAGGCTGTACGTCACGAAAACTGAGCTAAAAAAAGTGAGCGCATAGTGTGTACTGTAGGTGACTGCATCTGTTTGTATATCACAGCAAGGTCGACAGCTGGGCTAGTTGGTATAGTTCCATTTTGACAATAGCAATGCAAACAACAGGACGAAGTGGACACAGATCCCAAGTAAGCTATCTATCTATCTATCTATCTATCTATCTATCTATCTATCTATCTATCTATCTATCTATCTATCTATCTATCTATCTATCTATCTATCTATCTATCTATCTATCTATCTATCTATCTATCTATCTATCTATCTATCTATCTATCTATCTATCTATCTATCTATCTATCTATCTATCTATCTATCTATCTATCTATCTATCTATCTATCTATCTATCTATCTATCTATCTATCTATCTATCTATCTATCTATCTATCTATCTATCTAGCTATCTATCTATCTATCTATCTATCTATCTATCTATCTATCTATCTATCTATCTATCTATCTATCTATCTATCTATCTATCTATCTATCTATCTATCTATCTATCTATCTATCTATCTATCTATCTATCTATCTATCTATAAAAGGAATGTCGCGTGTGCGTTGGGGGCTCTCTCTCTCTGGCCGTCGCTTTGGCCTGTCATGCCATGTCTGCTCGCCTAGTTTGCCAAGTTCTGTAAATATGTAAATAAACTATCTGTCTTTTGTGGGAGCAAGAAGCCTCCCAAAAGTTTCTACTTTCAGGTGGAACTCTCATGTTGAATACTCACGGCATGCTCCTGTTGATTCAGTGGTTGCGAAGGCCGCCATATTGTTACAGTTCGTAGAGCGAAGCCTGAGGCAGGCGCCAGCATTTTTACAATCAATGGTGTATTAAGCATAAATTCACCTTTGCCTCAATACATTTGCGCCGTATGAAACCCCTGGCATTTGTCTTTAAGTGACAAACATAAAGAAATACGGATTGTACCTCTCCTGCTTAGTCTTTTCAAGACCGCAGTATGTTGTGTAAATAAATAAATAAAGCTGCAAGGTTTGTCCTAAGCCATTACCCACGTACAGTGGGGATCGATGATAATCGAAGCAAGAATGAGGCAGGTGCATATGTCACTTTAAAATCGTCACAACGTTATGAGGCGGAGGTAACTTATGCCATACATGACTTCCATACCATGATTATATCGTTAGGACGTGTCATTTACCTTCGTTGTCTATTACGTCACGCAATACCAACTTTAGGATTTGTTGAACTAGCAAAACGGCCGCGAGTGCGCTATGAGCGTAGCATGTAGTCATGTTTTACATTGCACGCATATCATGATAATCATGATTGGAGCTGTCATTTACATTCGTTGTCCATTCACGTCACGTAATACCAAATTTTGTATATGTGGAACTCGTGAAACGGCCGCGAGCACGCTATGAGCTTAGCATTTAGTCATGCTTTATATGACGCGCATACCATTAATTATCTTGTTTGGACGCGTGATTTACCTTCATCGTCTATTGAAGTCAAGTGATACGAAATTTGGTATATGTGTAGTTAACGAAACGACCGCGAGCGCATCATGAGCGTGGTATGCTGTCATGTTCTTACATGACACGCGTGTCATGATTACCATGTTTGCACCAGTCACGTATCTTCGTCATCCACTGATGTCACGTAACACCAAATTTAGTATATGTCGAGCTAGCGAAACTACCGCGAGCGCATCATAAAGAGCCTAATATACTCCGACGTAATGTTGACGCGCGCACACGCTCTGCGCAGCAATGCTACTCAAGCAAAACGCGAGCCGTCTATAGTGTAACGCCAGACGCAACGGGTGGTAGTAAAAACAGTTATTTAACAGCAACAACAAAAAAAAACCAGGAGGTATGCAGCGACCACCCTATAAAAGGACGGCACCCACAACAAGTGGGTGGGGATCCCTATAGTACGGCACCCCACTGGCGTCGTCTGCTGTCTGGGCTCGTCGAACCAAGTTCTCTTGGTCTTGAAGGTTAGAGCAGCCAAGCAAGGTCACCTCCCACCCCTACCGGGTATGGTTGGGTATAGGGGGTACAGCAGGGTTGCATGAGCAGGACCACACCATGTGGTAGATGTCTGAAGACGCCTCCCCACAGTGTAAGTAGCTGCCAGAAAAGGCGGAATAGAAATGTTTGAAGGCTGCCGGGCACAGCATAGTGTTCGTGAAGAGTCGGAGTAAAAGCCGCTCCTCCGCTTTATTTAGGCCTTTGCATGGACGTGCAAAAAGGCTTTGATTGAAATGGTAATAGTACACAACTTCACACCTGATTGAATTCAAGGTAGCCCTGATCGGGGCAGGTGAGTGGGAATGCCCGGTGAGAGAGCGCGGGGGTGACGGCATCGGCTGCCTCAGTTCCTTCGAGTCTCATGTGAGCAGGAGCGCAGACTATACGGTGGGGTGCAGGGATTCCTTGATAGTCTGAACGCTGCAATAAGCGGTAGACCAGGTATGCGACACGGCCGTTCACGATGTTTTGACAGGCCCCTCGAGAGTCGGAGATTATGATTTGCGACGTAGGGTGAGAAGCAGCCAATGTAATGGTGACTTTCTCCACATGGATTATGTCCCGGGCTCGAAACGTGAGCTCGTTAACTGTTTGGTTCTCGCGTGCGACAGCGGCCGTGTACCAGCCCCCAGGGTGTGGGACGGAGGCGTCCACGTATAACACGCCAGGTTTTGAACCATAGTAGCAGGCCAGGGCTTCCGTCCGCGTCAGGCACCGGCCATTGTGGTCTTTTTTGTCATATTGTGTGGAAGAGGACGCACGTGGAGAGCGCATCTCCACTCGAATGGGAGTTGAACGTGATCTTTCGTGATGTGAATGTGTTGTATGTGTAGGCAGGCTAATAGGCGGCACCTCGCTACCGTCTGTGAAAGTCAAGTGTATTTGTGAGGAGGGCCTCTCGAAGCTCCTGAAACGTATTCACCATGCCCAGGCCTAGAAGGCGCTGGTTAGAGGTGTTTACGGGGAGGTCGAGGGCTCGTTTTACATTTTAATGAAGGATGACTTCAAGTACATCTTCGTCTTGCTTCCGCAGGGAGAGGTATGGTGTAGAATACAAGATTCTAATGGTTACAAATGCATGTTCCAGCCACAAGGCATCTTTGCATCGTAGCCCCCCGCATTTAATAGAGACCCGGTGGACCATGCGGCCCACCTGGTCACCCACCTTCCCGAGTTTGGCCAATGTGGTGTCTGACCGTCTGTTTTGATTAATGAAGAGCCCCAGTACCCGGACTTCTTTCTGTTGAGGGATTGGACCTGTCTCCAGTGAGTGTTCAATTTTGGCTGTGCACATGGATGAGAGGTGTATGTGCACGAAATCTGATTTGGATGGCGAGCACAGAAGGTCACATTGGCGGGCATAGCGGTCAACTATGCTCGTGGCTTGCTGCAGGTTCGCCTCAATATCTCCGAGTGCACCCTGCGGGGCCCAGACTGGTGGTGTCATCAGTATACACCGCATGTTGTATACCGGGAACATCAGCCAGCTGAGCCGGCAGGTGCATCATGACCAAATTGAAGAATAAAGGAGACAGCATCACACTTTGTGGTGTACCTCTAGTTCACAAAGAGAAAGGGCCTGTGTTCGTTGTCTTGTAGGCGGACGTAGGATTGCCTGTCGGTTAAAAACTGGCGAATGTATTCGAATGCTCTGAAGCCACAGCCAGTTTGTGAAAGGTGTGTTAAAATTATCTCATGAGTTACATTTTCAAACGCCCCCTTCAAGTCCAAGGCGAGTACATCCTTTCCGTTGTGAGGGCGTTCGACAAGGTCTGGGATATCCCGATTAAGTCAAGAGAATGTGTTGAGCGGATCTGTACGGGTGAAAGCCCGAGTATAGAATCTGCGGAAATATGTTTACTTTCCATGCCATCAAAGAAACGAACCCGCGCTATCGTCTCCACCAGTTTGCCTGTACATGATGTGAGAGAAATGGGACGAAGGTTGTCTGTGTTCACGGTCTTTCCAGGTTTCGGTATAAATGTGACTGGGCAGTTTTCTACTGTATGGGCAGTGGCATTTCCCCGGACCAAATTGAGTTGAAGTAATCTAAAATTGATTCATAAGCCGCGTCGGGAAGGTTAGCTACCATTTTTGCAGTATTTTGTCCCGAGCCGGAGCGGTGCAACGTTCTATTTTAGTCAGGGCTTTCCGTAGTTCGAAAAGCTCGAATGGGCGGTCCAGTTTCACGTTCACTGCACCCGCGTAGGCGCCCCGCCGTGGTGGTCTAGTGGCTAAGGTACTCGCCTGCTGACCCATAGGTCGCGGGTTCAAATCCCGGCTGCGGCGGCTGCATTTCCGATGGAGGCGGAAATGTTGTAGGCCCGTGTGCTCAGATTTTGGCGCACGTTAAAGAACCCCAGGTGGTCGAAATTTCCGGAGCCCTCCACTACGGCGTCTCTCATTATCAAATGGTGGTTTTGGAACGGTAAACCCCACAAATCAATCAAATCATGCACCCGCGTAGGAGTACGCCGATCCACGCGGGTCCTGTGTGGAGCAAAGATATTGGTCCCTTAATCTGTGCGCCAGCTGGGTTGCATTACCTTGAAAGATATGGATTGCCCTTTGTAAGTGTTTCTGAGTTTCGGTGCGCGTCTGCGTTGGGCCCATGAGCGCGCGAAATAGCTTCCAAGTATTTTTGCCTGACATCTGGCGCGCTACCATGTTGCATAGGCGCGACCGGCGCACCAGCGTTCGTCGGTAACCGGCACGAAATGCAACATGCTGCATTTCGTGTCGATGACGTTACCCAGCTCTACGCAGAGAGCATTGCGTCTGCCTCTCTTTGTGACGGAGGGACGTCAAGTGTGCTCGAACGCGCATGCGTGGCATGCGCCTCTGAGTATATGGCAGGCAGATCGGCGCCTGGCGTGGCATCGCCGGCGAGACGCGACAAAACGAACGCTGGCGCACACGTGTGCCG